GTGGTGGTAAGAGAACCACCGGGATTGAGGCTTTGCCTGGCGGGCCGCTCCATCTATTGGTGGGGAGCGTCACCTGCTGGAAACCGGGTCCAGCGTCCCTTAAATAGCACATTGACATACAGTACATCATTAGATGCGACGCCATTGCTGGAAACCGGGTCCAGCATCCCATATCAAATCAATTCTGCCAACCAATCCTGCAGCCGGGCCTGGTAATGGGGGGGGGCACTGGGGGGCACCAGTGTAATCTCCCTCCTATCCCTAGCCCCTGCCAACCATCGACTAACCTCAGGGCGTCTGTTGTATTCATCTCCTGAGGATGATTGAGAATGTGCTTGACTGAACATGATTGAGAGTGTGCTGAACAAGGCAAGGAAAAACAGCCACAGCAGAAAAAAAACAGAAAACCAGCAAAAAGCAGAAAAAACAAAATAGCAGAAAAAAGTTGACAGAGTAAGTCTGCTACCGAACTGTGCAGCTGATGCCTTCTTCTACAGAGATACCCTGGCTGAAAAATGAGGCCTTGCGGGCCTGCCCTTCTGTCTGATTCCTGATCTCCATTTGGATAGGAAGCCTTGCTTGACATAGGAAGGAAAGAAAACAAAAGAAGAAGGAAAAAAGAAGGGGGGGAAGATTTCAATCATTAAAGAAAAAGAAAAAAGAAAAAAAAGAGAAAGAAAAGAAAAGAAAAAGGGAAAAAAAGAAAAAAGAAAAAAAAAAAAGAAAAAAGGGGGAAGCGCAGAAAGGAGTTCCTGGGGCAGGGTACCACCCACCCAGTGCATGGGTTATGTCAGTCTGTTATTATCTCTGCTAGGGCAAGCGGGTGTGGCGGGAAGGGATCAGAGAAGTCTGAAGGGGGGCGCATCGTGAAGGTGGGTTCTATTGTTGTCCAATCATTTAAGATAAGGCGGTAGTCCCTACATTCCGTTAGATCCTCTGGGTGCACCTCGTCTTTGTCCCCCCCCCACTCAACTCTTGCTACCCATCCTCCTCTCTCTCCTCCTAACCAGTCTTTGCAAAAGGAGGAGATTGCGCGTTTGATATTTCTGTTTGTTCTGAAAACATCTAACTGGGATTTGAGCACCTGCCATCTCCTCGTAATTTCCATGTTCAGTTAGTACCGGGCCTTCTATTCTCACTTCTTCCATTACCAAGATGCACCTTTGCCACCAAAGTCCCCATAAAACCGCTCTCCTGCCCAATCTGAACATGTTTTCTACAAAGACAGGTGCCCCCTGAGCCTCTGGCCAAAACCCTGTGAGGATGGCCCGCCATGACCACGGCCATGGCGGGCCCGAGACCATTTTTCTCCATATCCTATCCCACCAGCGCCATGTTAGTTGTGCAGTCGGGCATTGCATGAAGACATGTTCAATGGTTTCTGCCCTTTTCCATGAGGGGAACGCCTGTAGGCATCGCGGGCACAAGGGTAGAGCCGTTCCTTTTTGTTCCAGGTTTGCATGATCGATTAACCAGTTCATGGTCGGGAGTCAGCGGTGGGCTATTTGCCACTGTAGCGACGTGATTTTTGCTGGTTTGGATTTTCCTTCTTGAAACCAGGGGATTGGTGAGAAGAGGGACCGGTCGACATTGAGGTGCTTTACCCATCTATCGTTTATCACATCCCTCAAATGCCTCTTTGGTCCGAGCATCTTATAGGTAGATTTGACCGTTAGCTTATAGTGGCTAATCTTCTTGGTGGGGCCTGTTCTCCTTCCCCCTGGTTTCCATGTCCATTCCTCGAGATCCAAGGGTAACTCCTGTACCCCTAAGGTTGGCTGGAAAGCCTGAGCCTCCTCTCCTCCCCCAGAACTCGTACCCGAAAAACCTCTGTCTTATCCATCCATATGAAGGGGGCCCGACTGCCTTGTAACGCCTGAGTTTTAGTTTTGGTGTATCTTTCCACCAAGGCCTCCTGGGGACTCGTCTGATGGACCATCCCTAGATGTTCCGGGTCTCCCCCAATTCCTACCCAGTCTCCCTCCCTCAATGTGGGCCCCTTTCTTAACCTCCTGTACCATGAGAGCGGGATTCTCTCGATAAGTTTGTCCAAGTTTTGTGAGACGTGGTGACAATGTTTTAGCTTCAGGTGCAGATCTTTTGCTGTTTTCCAATCCTTTCTTTCTGTGTTCCAAATATCCCCTATTCTGGTCACTCCGCGTTTCACCTAGCTTCTCCAACGTGGTGTCAAGTTGTGCATCACCTGACCCTACCGATTTGTA